AGCAACTAAAAGATACGGTACTACGTAAAGTAGAAACACTACATGAAACTCACTTGGAAAGTAAGAGTAGAGAGAGAAAGAGATAGAGATAGTGATCGATAGTAGAGTGGCCAGTTAGATGCAGTGGTCAGAGGACAGAGTGGGTGCCAGGTGAATGGCTGAAGCAGTGAGGCCAGTCTTTGCCATCCAGTGCCGATTCTGCAGCAAGGGTAGACCGATTCACCCGGTCAGACGACTGCTGCTCAACGAGACATTGGCGTGCGCTCTGTGCGAGTGAGTGTGTGTGTGTGAACTGCTGAACCGGTGCCATTCAGTGTAAGGCGAGCAGGAAGAAGGCAAAGAGATACACACTTTAATCAAACACGCACCTACACTGGCGGCACTCGAGTGAGCCGATCTAAACTGGTGATACACTGGTGGCACAGCTGATGCTGCTAGTAGTGTCTTACCTGGAGGATTAGGCAGTTGATGGGATGATCCAAAAGTGTCGCTGCTGAAGTGGTATGCTGGGCAGAGAAGAAATTCTGTCGGTGGCAGTAGGGTAATAATCGATTAGTAAGGATAGAGGTGAGGTTGTTGCTGTTGCTGTTGCTGGACACGATGATGTCGATGGTGAGTGGAAATGCAGGCAGCGCAAGATGGCCAAGGCAAACAGTAGAACTGGCGCAATCGAGCGCAACTGACGCTGACACGAACACACACTCACACTCACTCACTCACTCACTACTTAGAGCACGAAGCCGTGTTTCATAATGATAATGGCACCACGAGAAGAAATAGTAGCAGCGTTGCCAGTCAGACACTGCCAAAGGCAGCAGTGATGTTGGTGGTGGTGGCGACTGCGGCTCGCTGTGCTTTAGCCGAGTGTTTCAGCACTGAGCACGAGGTTCCCGGTGTGTGTTGTGTCTCAGAACTGGTGGTAGCAGACGTCTCAAGAAGTGCGAACAGTGGGAGAATCGATGACAATGGCAGATGAACATAAGCTTCCTTTCTGGCAGGGAGGATATATCGGGAGTGTGAGCTAGAGGCACGCATGTCAGCACTGTTTTATATTTTAGCCATCATCGACATCAGAAACAGACACATACTCACAATAACAACAAAACCGGATTATGAGAATACGACTGCGAAGTGCTGCTGCTGCCGCTAAAGTTGGGATGCAAAGGAGAAGACACTGAGCGATTTGCTGCTGCTGCAGCTGCAGTGCTTGCTTTGTCTGTCTCTCAGGGTGTCTATGTGTGTATGTGTGTGTTTCACTACTGCTGCACAATGTGCAGTGCATTGGCAACTGGACAAATAGACAAGCGTCGATAGGCAATCCAAGCTCGCCCAATTCTCAACGTCGCTTTAGTCGGTGTGCAGCCGAATATTCTGCCGGCAATTCAGTGGAAGTTGTTGTGACAACAACAGCGGCAAGGAGCGGCTGCAGTGCAGTAGCAGTGCAAACAGCGGCACTTCAGAAGCGATTCTCAGCTGCACTGATCAGCCAAGTTCAGTGCCAGTTCAGTAGTGTGCCACGATGTGCCCACTTCTAAACAATTAAAAATGGTCACCAGACGGGCGAAAGCACCGGCAAACAGTCTTTTGGAAGGTTCAATATACTCACGTGCAGTCACGTGGGCACTGAAATGCAAATAGTCGGTGTGCACACGGCAATGTGGCGAAAGTTAAAAGGCAAAACAAGGTAGTTATGAAAAGCACAAACTGATGAGATAAATATTCGCAGACTTTCCAGTCGCCGAGGATGAGGAATGACCCAAAAGAAGTGCTCTGGGAGTGCACCAGACTTTGTTGCAGATGCAAAAGGGCACCATTTTTGGAGTGGCAATGTACGACTTTGGTGTGTGTCAAATGGTGCGGCACGTTGCATCACTCGGCAACGGCCACTCACTCACTCTCACCGACGGGTTGGGGTAGTGCGAGAGAAATAGCACTGAAAATGGCTTTGCAAGTTGTGAGTAGTGCGAATGAAACATTGGCGTTCCGTTCCAGCAGCAGAAAAAAAGATGAATCGAAACGCAGGCATTGTGCGCGCCACCAAGTACTCTGCAGCAGTCAGCTTAGGCAGCAGCCGCAGAGGGCAAGGAGGGAGAAAGAGAGACTTTTTTGCCGTCAAGTAATTACAGACTTATCGAGACGAGTAGCCTGTGCGTTAGAGCTGGAGCAAGAAAACGACATTTCGGGGCTGCTCGTGGTTTATTGTCTCTTTCTGGCTAAGCAGACATGTATCACTGCTCAATATCGATTCGGCTTTCGCCTGTTTGCCTCTGCTTGCACGGCAGGCTCCCCCCTTGATACTGCTGGTGAATTACGACAAGGCGAGTCGCTTCTGCTAATGGCGAACAAACATTAGTGGATATCTAGAGTGCGCTCTTTGATCGCTACATTCAAATACGGCCAATATAGAGACGCATGAAATGAGTTAACTTTTAGGAGCACTGATTCAGCCCACTGCCACTGAAGTCCAAACAAAGGTGTAGAAGTGAATCAGATAAACGCCAATACTTGACCACACAAGCGCCCACTCGCAGAAAGTGGGTAGAGCTCCCAGATTAGCCAAAGACCGGGTCAATTCGGGGGTTAATTGTTGTCAATATGTAGTATTTGTATTATACATGAAGGAAGAAAATTTTTCATACATACTATTTAGGAAATATTTCAGCAGAGAATAGAGATTTTAGAGAACTTACAGTGTCAGTTCGGCTTTCACCAAACGTGGCTAATGGTAAAGGTGGTGCTGTTCTTGCTGTTATTGTTGTTGGTGTTGTTAATCACTGTTTGGTGCGGGTAACATCCAAACAAAGCCCCCGTTGGCTGGTGTTGGTCCTGTGGAGTTGGACGAGTAAGTGTGTCCTCGATGTGTCGGTGTGACAAGAGTTATACAGCGCCCTCGAGGGCAATGTGGACAGAAGAAGCACGAGCACAACAACTGGAGATGGTGATTTCAGGTAATTGCAGGTAAAGTTCGGTAGCACTGTCCCTGTTCGGGAAAAGGAGGGAATGGAGGGATTGATGGAGCACACCGGCGTGCACGCCAATGAGAGCTGGGCTGAGGGAAAGAAGGGGCGATTCGGCGGAATCGGAATCAGCGTCCTGAGACGCGGCGAGATGGAAGACGACGACGACGTCGACGACGATGGCGATGATGATGCACTCGGTGCAGAGTAGCAAGCAGAAAAGATAGTCTTGCTCCTTCTTTCTTTCTTTCGCTCTCTTGCTCTCTCTCACTCTCTCACTCTCTTCTTGGCTGCTGCTGCCGCTGCTACTGCTACTGCTGCTGCTCGCGTCAATTGTCCTGTGAGACCTCTTTGTTGTGTGGTTTCAAACGACGATTCGCGTCGGCCGCCGTGATGTGACGGCGTTGTGATCGAGTCAGGAACGTTACCACCACCACCACCACTGGTCGGGTGAGCCATCCATTGGGCAAACATCACTACTACTTCTGCTGCCGCTGCCACTGAGCTTTCCAAATTGGACACGCAATTGCGTTAGACACTAACTCTCTGACTTCCCCCTTGCTAGCCATGCCCGCCTCTGTCACTGGCTACAATTCTCGGAGAGGAGAGTAGCTGCTGCTTTGACTAGTGCGATTAGCGTTGGCGCCAACAGAATCTGTGACCAAGTTATCTCATCTATTTACCTGAATTACTGTAGGGCACTTTCAGTGCATTAGATTAGTGGGTGCTTCAAGTTCAAGGTTAGTGCCTGGAGTGCCTGGAATGAGAGGGGCTCTCGCATCCTCGACAGGCGACCTCTTTGCCACTATCACCTCTGCCGCCAACACCACCACCGGCACTAATCAACTGTTAATTGATAGCCAATTAACATTTGGCAGCACAAAGACAATAACAATGTTTCAGTTAGAGAGTGCAGGCACTTCTCAGTGCCGCTGCTGCCGCAGTAGTGTCATTGACCCTATCTGCGCAAGGCGCCTAATTGAGTGCATCCAAATCTCACACCTTGGTGACTTCAATGCTTCAACTTCCCGCCTGTAACTGCTGGTCTTCCAACTTCTGGTCGCCTGGTGACCGATCTGCTGGTGACCACGCTAGTCTGCAGACAAGTAGAGCCGTATCTGGTAGTGGCTCTGCTTGACTCAGCAAATTGCTCCTCAATTAAAAGACGGCACTGTAATGGTGCAGATTCGCCGGTGCTCGCCATCTACTGCACCCACCGAGCACTAGCCGTTGAGTAGCCAAAGTTGTATATGGACAGCAATGATTTAGCCCTAGCAGAATTCATGCAGAGAAAGTACTGCGCGACACTGTTCCAATTGAATGCGGGGAATGGAGTAGTGTGGCTATATGTGATGCACTCCCTCTTCACTGACACTCGCCCTCTGAGGAGAAGTGAGAGCCAATTGAAGCAGTGCCGATAAGTGCCAAAGATGAACAAATCCCCATGAATTGCCCTTCTTGCATTCACTCACTCACTCACTGTGATTCTGCCCGATGAACTTTTGAATCGCCAGATAAATGACTTGGTGCTGCAAACTGCTCAGTGAGCAGAAAAACGAGCCAAGCTACAACAAAGCACTCCACGTGATGTCAAGTACTGATAACAAATCCAAAATGATAAACACGTGCAATTTGTTCAGTTTCGCAAATTGGCGCCGGTACCAATTTAAATTGGTTTCAGCCAGAACAGAGAACAAACAGAACAGTTTTAAACTACTTTATTTAACACGTTCATTCATACAGTTACTCAACAAGTTTTAAAAGTTTAAAATCAAATATAAATTCATAAATAAATAAGTGGTAGAAATTCTGTAGCAGAATCCGCGAAGCAAAAAAGAAGCAAGATTTGAAAGGGAAAAGTTTTCGGTGCAAAGAGTAAAATAGGCAAAGTTCCTGTTACATTGTCACTCTACTGTCAATGTAGCCGCTGAGACAATTTTGGCGCTCAAGAAAAAGTTTGTTGTTCTGAATCTGCGAGAGGCAAACCGGCGAGATTTTGTTTGTGTAATCTTTGCGTCATTTTCATCATTCCTTGCGTTCAAAATGGGCGATTTTTTCAGCACTACTCAGTTCGATATCAACCAAAATCAAGGCCAGCAGCAGCAACCCGAATTTAATGACCGTGACCAACTGAACCATGTTCATGTCACGCTGTCGCAGATTGTGAATTTGACCCGTCGTGAGGAAGGTCTGATCATCCAACGCCAAAAAGTCCACACTATTACAGTCTATGGAATGCTGATTAACGTCGAAGAAGGAAATACCAAGAATGTTTACCTGATTGACGACTTCTCTAAGGGTGGTCCTGTGGAGGTTCAACTGTGGAAAAATGATAATGATGGTAAAAGCTTGTTACTTAATAAATTTCATTTATTCTACCCAACCCTCTAACGACGTTTATGCAATTCTAGGCACTGGTTCATATATGCCCGCGCCATCTGTCATGGAGAACACTTACATTCGAGTTGTTGGTCAAGTTCGCTATGATGATAAGAAGCCTTTCATTATAGCTTTTGAAATCAAGACAATAACAGATCCGCGAGAGATTGACAAACATTTTCTAGAGGTGATCAATGACGCTCTTGTCTTGGAAAAGCGAAAGAACTATACCTTGGCACACGGAGAAAATGGAAACTTCTCTCGTATGGACACAAGTGGACACTTTACCCAAGTGGACACAAATCCTATTCATGCTGGATTTAGCGATGTTCAACGCTCGGTGCTCAATGTTTTCCGCAAACATGGCAACGAGCAATCGTGCGGCCTGAAACGATCTGACATTCACAGCTTCTTGCCTGGTGTCAATTCCTCATTGATCGATGACGCTATAAATTTCCTGGTTAATGAAGGCCACATTTTCACGACCAACGATGACCATACATTCAAGTCCACAGAGTTTAATTAAACATTTCATATTTATGCACAAGATTTATTTTTTAATTTCAAAACTTCTCTTGAGGCGAATCCGATATTCATCTCAATCTCATAAATAATAATTTGTGCTTTCTTAACAAACAAAATTGTATAATCTTACTGTAATTTTCATTAAAAGTTGTGATTTTTAAAAATCATCAATGTGTCGGTTGTAGCGTCATCTGCAGGCATGCATGCACAACAGTAGAGAGCCACTACGACTGACGTTATCTGCCTCGTTCTGCCAGCTGCAGTCAGGCCATGTGCGCGAATCACTTACGGCGAAAATCATTGGTAAACAAATGCAGCTGAAAGCAGGGCCGCCATTCGAGGATTCACCCTAGAAATGTCAACTCTTCAGCAGTTTACCGACTACGTGTACCGGTTTCCAGAATGCCAGACTTGCGAAGACACCTTACAGGCTCTCAAAGTGGAGGTGCACCGCATTGTGCCAAATGAACTCGAGTTTGACATCATAGGCTTGAAGCCTTACGTCGTGAATGCCATCCGGCAAACAATTCTGAACGATATTCCCACAATGGCCATCGAAGATGTGTACTTTCACAAAAACACTAGCATGTTCAACAGCGATTACATCTCTCAACGCCTCGCTTTGATACCAATTAAAGCGGATCCTAATGATTTCAAGTTTGTCCAAAGTGGCGATACATCAAAACTCAACTCAGACAATTCAATTGTCTTCAACATGACAGAATCTAATTCAGGAAAAGATGTTATCAAAGTCTACACAGAAAGTTTAGTATGGGAGCCAGTTGGTGAAAAACAAAGCCAGCTTGAGCCTATTAAGCCGCTGTTTGACAAAATTCCTTTACTTTGCTTGAAACCAACCGAAGAGATTTCGTGTCGCGTATTCTGCATCAAGGGATTAGGTCGCAATCATATGAAGTTCAGTCCTGGTTTTGCTCGATACTGCTTTCTATCACAGATTGACCTGACCGGATGCGCCAACTTCTCCAATGATATGGCTTTAAAATTGCAAGCATCATTTCCACCCGGTGTGATCAAGCTCAACCAAATGCCTGGTGGTAAACTAGTGCCTACTGTTGATAATGCTCGCATGGACCGCCACTCGAGATCATTCCGAAATTTCGAAGATATAGAAAAGAATATTTCTGTCAAATACTACCGAGATCATATGATTTTTACAGTCGAATCCTATGGCGTAATTGAGCCCGAAAAGATGGTCATTAGTGCATTAAGCATTCTCAAGTACAAGTACATTTTGTGGAGAAACCACATTACAAATGTTAAGAATGCTGCAATAAAGAAAGCGTAAATTCTTTTATCCCTCTATCTCTTAAAATGTGACATTTTTCTCTCTTTTTCTTTGCACTTAAATTTTGGTCTCAATGTGAGGATGCGGTTTTTTATACTTTCAGGCTAAATGGAATCTTTCTAACAGTACGGAATTCAAGATGGTCTTGACTAGTTAAAAACATATTTAGTATTGATAGCTCTAAAAGTTTACACACAGTGCACAGAAAACAAAGCCTTTTTAACTAGTAACTTAAAACACAGCTTTAAAATCGGTGGGTAGATCTAGTTTTTGTAAACGAATTTGATATTAATACATATGTTAAACTAGAAGTTTTTTGCCAAACTTTGCCCATGCTTAAGGCCAGACAAGGGCGATCGCAGCGCCTCTGGCGAGCTAATGTATTCTCTATGGGAAATTTTGAAAAACGCGGTGTAGAAATGCTCGCTCAATTTTAAAGGTAGAATTATGTTCTTGGTATCAAAATATTGCTAACGATTAGGCCGAGGGCTGCTCGGATTTTGTTTTTTGAATTAGGCTTTTAATTTTTTATATTTGATTGGGAAGGTGAGAAAATGACAAAAAACTCGATTTTGTCGCATTCAACACCAAATATCTAAAAAATAGAATTGAAATTCAAAAAACAAAATCCGAGCAGCCCTCGGCCTAATCGTCAGCAACATTTTGATACTAAGAACATAATTTTACCTTCAAAATTGAGCGAGCATTTCTACACCGCGTTTTTCAAAACTTTGCAGAAAACAGGAAAAATAAACAAAACTTAACTGCTCACAAATAAAGTAACATTTTTTTTTAAAAAAAAGTAGCGCGTGTCTTTTTGTTTTGTTTTGGTCAGTTGCTTTCTAAGTTTTCAACTGTAAACTAAAAACTTCAGATTTGTAAAGTTTTTTACATTTAAAATTTTAAATTATTGTATTATTTTTAATTATTTCATCAAAATGGCAAACAAGAAGAACGAAAATCATGTTTTAAAGAAAACTAAGAAAACTAAGAAAAAACAGTTCAAAAATCTTGTCGGAAAAAACAAAAAGAAAAAGGTAAGTATTGAAAATATTAATTTTAACCAGGACTGTTCCGCATCAACTAAAGCGGACGAAAATCTTGACAAAGTCACTGCAAACAGGGAATTGATCAACGAGATCAAAACAGAAAATATTACCCTTGATCTCGTTGACATGGTGGCAATTAGCCAGATGATCAAATTGAATGCCAACTGCTCTCATTGCAAACTTCGGCGATCCCTCGGAATAAAGTCAATTCCTCGAGTCGGCCTGGCATGCAATTTTGTCCTCAACTGTTCCTCCTGTGGAGATCTGGCGAAAACATCAAACTCCACAAGAAGATCTTACATTTCAGGAGGCAGAACTTTCTTAATGGAGTCCATCAATTTTGCTGTCATCACAGCTGCTAGGATTTCTGGTTTTGGAAGAGAGGCAACAAAACGCTTTTTTGCTTTTGTTGGCCTCAGGAATCCACCAGACAACTGGGTGCAGCACCAGACCCTTCTCCGGGAAGCTTTCAAAAAAAGAGCAGAAGAGTCCATGAAGCAAGCCGCTGAAGAATTGAAGCAGGATGCTTCCAAGCGCGGCTTAGATGGTGCTTCTGCCTCATTTGATGGCAGTTGGATGAAACGGGGAATGGTTTCCCTCATCGGATTTGTGTCATGCATTGGCATGTACACTAACAAGATCATTGGCATTGACGTTCGTTGCAAGTATTGCCCAGTGTGCCATGGTAAGGCCAACGAAAACTTTCCATGTCGACTTGGAGTTGACTGCGGCATTAACCACCATGCTTCATCAGGCGCCATGGAGCCTGAAGGTGCCGTCAACATCATCAAGACACTTGCTGAAAAGAACAATCTCCAAATCACTGAGTATCTCGGTGACGGAGATTCGAAGGCCTACGCATTGGTGAACAAGACCTTTAATTGGACTATCACCAAATTGGAATGCGTCAACCACGTAGCCAAGCGCATGGGCGCCCGTCTACTCAATAGGAAAAAGACGGTAAAAGGCCTTGGAGGTAGTAGGGGCACGCTTACCATTGAAGCGTGCAAGAAGATACAATCCTACTACCACACCATTCTCACTGGAAGCAACGGAGATGTACCGCTAATGCAAAAGCGGATCGAAGCTATGTACAGGCACATTTCTTCCAGTGACGACCGGCCGGACCATGATCTCTGTGACGAGGTTTGCAAGTATCTCAAAGAGATGAAACAAAGGGCAGAAGAAAAAGCCCAAGGTTCAAAGAAAAAGAGGCTAAAGAAGCAAGCGCCTCCAATGAACTACCGTCACCAGCACCCCCACTTTCATGTCCTGGCAAGTCAAATGGAAAAAATAAAGGACATTTTTGCCAATCTTTCCAAACCCGAGCTTTTGGAAAAAGTGTCTCATGGAAAGACACAAAATTCTAACGAGTGCTTCAACAGCACTGTTTGGAACCTGCTTCCGAAGAATGGCTTTGCCAATCGGCTTTTGGTGGAATGGGCAGTGTACATGGCTATCTGCCAGTACAACGAAGGACGACGGCCCATCTTGGACGTTCTTGGTGCTTTTGGTGTTTCAATCACCAAAGGCATAAAAATATATTGCCACAAAGCAGACAAGTTGCGAGTTTCTAAGAAAATGCGAGAAACCGCAACTCGAAAAACAAGAAAACTGAAAAAAAGAAGCTTTTAGTCGGGAAGAAAGCGACTACCAAGGACTACTCATCTGGTGGCCACTAACTGGACGTTTCCAGCTCCCACAGTTCATCGGCTAACTGTGAGGTTTCTAAATGTTAGCGCCCCCAATAGGGGGAGGTAAGTATTTTTATATTTATTTCACTGAATTTTCTAACATTTTCATTTTTTCTCAGGTTTTCTAATCTCGGGCCCTTGGCGGGCCCCAACAAGGGCCCGCCAAGGGCCGAGGTTAACGTCAAGATTAAAATGCGCGCAACTTAGAGCAATTTCCTAAGTTTCGCGCTCTAAAATTTTTGAAAATAGTTTGTATTCATACGCGCTATTTTTACCCAGCAGTTAGCTGCTGAGTAGAAATAGCCCATTTTTAGTGATCCAAAACTTTGAAAGATTTTCACTTTTGGATCACTTTAGGATTTTTATTTTAATCTGTTTTTTTACCAAATTATTTAGTATAGTATAAGCAATTTTTAACACAAAAATTTTTTTATTTGATTTTTTACTCAAAATTGCCCCTTGTCTGGCCTTAACGATTTTGGGAACACTGATTACTCCACACTTGAAAAGGCTCTCTTANAACTTTGAAAGATTTTCACTTTTGGATCACTTTAGGATTTTTATTTTAATCTGTTTTTTTACCAAATTATTTAGTATAGTATAAGCAATTTTTAACACAAAAATTTTTTTATTTGATTTTTTACTCAAAATTGCCCCTTGTCTGGCCTTAACGATTTTGGGAACACTGATTACTCCACACTTGAAAAGGCTCTCTTATCAAAGGGTTACACGGAGGAAAAAAAACAACGACCACCGTTTTTAGTGTGCGCTTTGCCCGTCCTACTGCCATAGTATCTTGCTTTTGTAAATTATATAAAAGCTAAAATTAATCAAAACTAATTTAAAATACTTTCGAGTATGTTAAACAGAGCCTGTGTAATTTATTCACCTAAAGTTATTTGAATTATTTTACCCACATGCAACCTGTGTTTGACTTTTTTCCAAGTATTTCAAGCAGCTATCCGTTAGACTATATAACATATAGCTCCCGTTGTTATTCTCTTTTCTTTATTCTTTCCATCATATTCTATAGCACTAGAGGTTTCTCTCGTTTAGGATATGAATACTGTCCACAAGCAAGTTAACTTCAGTCAGTAAGTTGATTCCACTGGTGCGAGTATAACCTGTTTTTGCTAGCTCACGTTGTCAACTTTAACCTCATTTCTCACCTTTATCTTGTCTTTTCATCTCCGACAACTTTCAATCTCAAATGTTTCCGCATTTTCCTCATTGCAAAACTGCATCAGTTCACTGATCACAGCTAATTACAATACTTTCCATTTTGGAACTTGCAAGTTACATCCAAAGCATTTATAACTATAACAAATAGTTTGCTTTTTTGCAAAAATGATTAAGCAAAACTAATCAAGTTTCTTAATTGCATAAAAGCTATTGCAAATTTTATACATTGTCATATGTTAGGAAAATTAATTATCGAAATTAAATATTCTAAGCAGTGTGTGATTCCTACTATGCATAAAACCACTTGTCAGCTTTTACCGTACAAAGTCCCATTAATTAATTAGTTTTGATTCTCCTAATCTATAAATTACCAAAATCTTTCTTTTCACAATTTTTTATAAAAAAATGTTAGTTTTTTAATTTTCAAGTTACACTTTTCAATCTTAATCAGATTGAGCCTTTTACTTAAAATCAGGTATAACTTGCAACTGATAAATGCAAAACACTGAATACAAAGTTAACATATATTTTAAGTTTATAACACTTTCAATCGTTATCTATTACATAAAGTGCATCTCAATTTAAATTTTAGCGAAACTTTTCTTTAACATTGTTGCATTTTCAGTCATGCCATGTAAGCAACAATAGGTTTGCTTTGCTGCATTAGTTTACGAGATGTTAAGACTGCAAGAAAATCAATGTTTTGCATTTTAAATGTAATTTTGTATTAGAAATCTTTGCATTTTAAAAATTTAAAATGGCTCATTTTACAAAAATGTCATCGCATCAACAAATCAACTCACCGGTTGTTGGTTTAACATTTTTCCTACCATTAAATATGTCGCTGATAAGGCATTTGTTTTCACCAACAAAAATCAAAATTTTGTCAAATTTCTATAAAACTTTCAGTTCAATATTTTGCTGTACTACATCAAACAAGTTAAAACCAAACAAATTAATCAGACACAAAACAATAATTCGTTTTGCACTTTGCGGTGAGTAAACAATTTAAACTAAAAATTTTAAAAATTTTAAATTTTTAACACAAGTTTAGATGTGAAAAGTTGTTTTGTTT